CAGCTTTTATATCCATTCTGCGTGTGTATGTCTTAAAGTTGCTCGTTATTAGCCTGGCTGTGTACGCACACAATCCAGAGAGGTGCGGCCCTCGTATTATCTGAGCATATCGTCTTGATGCGTGTTGTAGGTACACGCGCCGGTGCCAAGAGCAAGAAAAGGGGAAAACAAGACACAGCGGGTGCAACAGGACATGGAGAAGATGCAGACGACGAGGAGCAACAGCCAGAGAAAGGGCATAAGCGTGAGGACGAGCGTGAGGGAGAGCGCGAGGGCAGGAGAGAGGGTGAGCGTGAGGGCAGGCGTGAGGGCAGGCGGGAGGGCAGGCGTGATGGCAGGCGGGAGGGAGAGCGTGAGGCTGAGCGAGAGGGAGAGCGAGAAGGTGAGCGAGAGGGAGAGCGAGAGGGAGAGCGGGAGGGAGAGCGTGAAAGAGAGCGTGTTGTGAAGCGTGAGGGAGAGCGTGATGTGCAGCATGAGGGAGAGCGTGATGTGCAGCACGAGGGAGAGCGTGAGGTGAAGCGTGAGGGAGAGCGTGATATGACGCGTGATGAGTCTTCTCCCTCTACTCCAGCAGGTGCCCGTGCGGATGATGCACATAATGTTCGTGGTCATGGGGAGGGTGGGAGGGAGAGACGTGGCGCAGAGTTAGAAGATCAGAGAGGGGTGTCAGGGAGAGTGAAGGCACGGGCCAGAAATGCTAGAAAGAAGGCCGTTGCAGAGGTGGAATCTTCAGATGAAGATGATAGTTCTGAGGAGGAATCAGGGAGTTCCTCCGGGAGCGAGGAGAAGTATGATGAGGAGGAGGACGAGAGTGATGACGCTGAATCTGAGTCCGGGAGTGATGACGACGGCAGGAGAGGGGGGATGGCACGAGGAGCGCGCAACCACCGCTATAGTGGAAAGCGTGGTCATGCAACCGGTGGTAAGGCCGGTAATGGACGTAAACGGCAGAGACGTCGAGAGCGTGCTCAAGGAAAGCGCACAGAATCTGAGGGACCCAAACGGCGTCGTAAGGAGCGTCCTGTTGTGAGACAGGACCTTCGCTTCTACGATGAGATGAGGACCTTGGGTCACTCGGAAGATGCTGGACCGTCGAATCGTCGGGAGACCGTTCGGATGAAACAGGCAGCAACCAACGATCCGTATGCTGCCCTTGCTTCTACCTCAGGATTGGGAAAGAGGGCGTCTCGATTTCAAGATCGGAGCGTGCGTGAGAACGCTGGCCAGCAGCATGACAACACGCTGAATCCAGCCGGGGGTGGTGACGATCTGGCCTGTGGTGGGGGGCTGGGGGCGAATGAGGGTGAGGCGGGTGGTGTTGGAGATTGGTTCAACGATGAAAGGAAAGTTGGACGCTCTGACCCAGCAACTCCCCTCCCGTTTGCATCGGCAGGAGGCAATTCCCCGCTCAATGCTAGCGGAGTGCCCATCATTCATTCAAGCACCACTCCTAATGATTCCATGCAGCAACTCTTTCAGGCTTTGCAGGAAGCTAATAGGCAGATCGCAGAGCTGAAGGCCGGTCGGGGACCTTTGGTGGACAGGGGGGGAAACGGGACGCAACTCCCGCCGCTTACCTCGATCTCCAGCGAGCAACCTGAGCCGTCCGAAACGCCGGGCGCTGTGGCGGAGAGTGATGTTCAAGGCACTCCAATCACCAGGAGGCATGGGATGCCTAATGCAACAAATCTGAAGGTAAGTGCCACCCATCTCACTTACCCATTGGTGGACCCTACTCGCTGGCTTGTACATTATATCATTCTATTGTCCCCAACCGCGCATTACCATTCTTATTCTTTGTTTGTCTAGTCATTCCCACTCTCTGGAATCATTCCATGCAGTGACCTTTTCTCATTCACAATCTCCGTTTTACCCTTCATTCCCATTTTCTGGTTTGCCCTTTGTTTTCATTCTCTGGTTTAACCCTCCTCATCCTCTGGTGGTACACCTCATTCTCATGCTATGGTTCACCCCTCATTCTAAGACAAATGGTTCCCACCATTCTCTTTCTCTGGTTCCAATCCGTGCATTTGCTCATTCTCGTGCAGTCCCTGGTTTTACATGCTTTTTTGCGTATCCCATTCTTGTCCATGGTCATTATCATTCACATTATCTTGGATTTCAATCCTATTGGCTGGCCCGTCCGTGGCAATGGCTCGTCCACTAGTTTTCTCTGGTTTTCCGTTTCAACCGGATAATTTTGCACCTCCTCTGTCATTGTGGTTTACCTTTACATTGTTGGTCCCTTTATGTCGTATTGAACAGCTCTACATGGAAGAAGCTCGGACGCGCATGTGTATGGAGGCTGAGGACCATCTCATCACGTTCTATCCAAGCTTTGAGAAGCGCATTCTTGTTTTGCACGAAGTTATTTCCGAGCACTACGTGGTTCCCTTGATCATACTCAAGGAGGCCATGGCAGATAAAACGCGCAGGGATGCATTCAAGCGCGTGTACACTCAGTGGAAGAACGAGCGTGGGTTTTACGTCAAACGCACCATGCTCGAGGGTTTGGGGGTTCCCATGAGTGGCTTGCGGGCGGCGGAAATTCACATCGACACCGAGCTCAAGGAGGAACTATGGGGGGAGTTTGGCCCGAGTGAGTAAACATAAGCTTGTCATTTTCCCCCACCTTCCCCCCCTCCCCCCGTTCTCACCATCTCAACCCTAGCACCCCTATCTTGCAACATCCCATATTCCGTACTTGTTGTCTTAAAAGGTACTTTACATCACCCCCTAACCCTTTTCCTATATCACACCCCAACCCTTGGACCCCTTTTGTTCGAGCATGTTGCAGGTGCGGACGCCCTACTGAGCACATGGGGAAATGCCGAGGATAGTGATCTCCCGTTCGGCAACGAGATTTTCTTCAACGCGGCCATGGACGCATTTGGTGAATTTGCCGTGGGGAACGACGTTTGCTTGAAGGCATATCACATTGCATGGACTATCTTGGTGGTGAGTGACTTGTTAGGGCCCTTTAGCGTGTTTATCTAGACGGATCTTTTTTCCTTGTGTTTCCACCTGCCCCATGCCATCAACCCTAAACCTTATGCACTCGTGTTTCCAACTTCCCCTCCGTTGCTCCTTGAAACCCAGGTTTCCACTCCTCTCGAGTTGTACCCTAAACCCTCTGGTTGCACTCTTCCACTCACGGACTTACATTGTTAATCCTTTTCTCCATTCTCCTCACATCCATGCAGTACCCATCAGAACCCTAAACCCCTCAGGTGTTTCCAAACATTCATTGGTTCCCCATTTCCTTCCAAAGCTGCGCCCACTCATGTCTCATGCTCACATTCTACCACTGGCGTACTTTCCTGCATCTTGCGATTGCCCCGCATAACCATAAACCTCTCACACATCCTCATCAAGCTTGAATTTGTTCATGATTTCCATTCTTGACAACGCAGATTGACTATGGATTGTCGAAGATCAAGAAGTCAACGATGAACCTCACCAACTCCCACCGTAAGAACACGCGGTGGGTGACAAGCATCCGTAGGGCGGTGAAACGGGCGGTGACGGATCATTTCCGCCAGGTGAACCCTGTGTACGATACACGGATGAAAGGGTTTAAGTGGGGGAACTTCGGCTTGTTCGTCCATGAGTCGGGGTTCGAGGAGTATAGGCCTAGACCACAACCCCGCAACCTGACAAGGAGGGTGGCTTCAGGTCACGTCTAGAGGAGATGAATGGTGGAATTGCAGCAGAGAATGGAGGAGAGGAGTAGCAGCAGGGAAGGGAGGAGAGGAGCAGCAGCAGGGAAGGGAGGAGAGGAGCAGCAGCAGCAGTTCAGGGAGGAGAGGAGCAGCAGCAGGGAAGGGAGGAGAGAATTAGCAGCAGGGAAGGGAGGAGAGGAGTAGCAGCAGGGAAGGGAGGAGAGGAGTAGCAGCAGGGAAGGGAGGAGAGGAGTAGCAGCATGGAAGGGAGGAGAGGAGTAGGATGGGGGAAGAGAGGTGAGGAGTAGGAGGGGGGAAGGAAGGAGAGGAGCAGCAGCAGGGAAAGGAGGAGAGGAGCAGCGGCAGGGAAGGGAGGAGAGGAGCAGCAGCAGGGAAGGGAGGAGAGGAGCAGCAGCAGGGAAGGGAGGAGAGGAGCAGCAGCAGCGAAGGGAGGAGAGGAGCAGCAGCAGGGAAGGGAGGAGAGGAGCAGCAGCAGGGAAGGGAGGAGAGGAGCAGCAGCAGGGAAGGGACGGGAGGAACAGCAGCAGGGAAGGGACGGGAGGAACAGCAGCAGGGAGGGGAGGAGAGGAGTAGCAGCAGGGAAGGGAGGAGAGGAGTAACAGCAGGGAAGGGAGGAGATGAGTAGCAGCAGGGAAGGGAGGAGTATCATCAATGAAGGGAGGAGAGGAGTAGCAGCAGTGAAGGGAGGAGAGGAGCAGCAGTAGGGAAGGGAGGAGAGGAGCGGCAGCAGAGAAGGGAGGGGAGGAGCAGCAGCAGGGAAGGGAGGAGAGGAGCAGCAGCAGGGAAGGGAGGAGATGAGCAGCAGCAGGGAAGGGAGGAGACGAGTAGCAGCAGGGAAGGGAGGAGAGGAGTAGCATCAGGGAAGGGAGGAGGAGTAGCATCAGGGAAGGGAGGAGAGGAGTAGCATCAGGGAAGGGAGGAGAGGAGGAGCAGCAGGGAAGGGAGGAGAGGAGGAGCAGCAGGGAAGGGAGGAGAGGAGCAGCAGTAGGGAAGGGAGGAGAGGAGCAGCAGCAGAGAAGGGAGGAGAGGAGCAGCAGCAGGGAAGGGAGGAGAGGAGTAGCAGCAGGGAAGGGAGGAGAGGAGCAGCAGCAGGGAAGGGAGGAGACGAGCAGCAGCAGGGAAGGGAGGAGAGGAGCAGCAGCAGGGCAGGGAGGAGAGGAGCAGCAGTAGGGAAGGGAGGAGAGGAACAGCAGCAGGGAGGGGAGGAGAGGAGTAGCAGCAGGGAAGGGAGGAGAGGAGTAGCAGCAGGGAAGGGAGGAGAGGAGTAACAGCAGGGAAGGGAGGAGATGAGTAGCAGCAGGGAAGGGAGGAGTATCATCAATGAAGGGAGGAGAGGAGTAGCAGCAGTGAAGGGAGGAGAGGAGTAGCAGCAAGGAAGGGAGGAGAGGAGCAGCAGCAGGGAAGGGAGGAAAGGAGAAGCATCAGGGAAGGGAGGAGAGGAGCAGCAGCAGGGAAGGGAGGAGTGGAGTAGCCGCAGAGAAGGGAGGAGAGGAGCAGCAGCAGGGAAGGGAGGAGAGGAGCACCATCAAGGACGGGAGGAGAGGTGTAGCAGCAGGGAAGGGAGGAGAGGAGCAGCAGCAGGGAAGGGAGGAGAGGAGCATCATCAAGGAAGGGAGGAGAGGTGTAGCAGCAGGGAAGGGAGGAGAGGAGCAGCAGCAGGGAAGGGTGGAGAAGAGCAGCAGCAGAGAAGGGAGGAGAGGAGCAGCAGCAGGGAAGGGAGGAGAGGAGTAGCAGCAGGGAAGGGAGGAGAGGAGCAGCAGCAGGGAAGGGAGGAGAGGAGTAGCAGCAGGGAAGGGATGAGAGGAGTAGCAGCAAGGAAGGGAGGAGAGGAGTAGCAGCATGGAAGGGGAGGAGAGGATGCAGCAGAGAGTAGCACAGCAGAGAGGATGCAGCAGAGAGTAGCACAGCAGGGAGGATGTAGCAGAGAGTAGCACAGCAGGGAGGATGTAGCAGAGAGCAGCACAGCAGGGAGGATGCAGCAGGGAGCAGCACAGTAGGGAGAATGTAGCATGGAGTAGCGCAGCAGGAAGCATGCGGCATAGTATGGACCTAGGGGTTGATAGTGGGGAGAAGTAGCGCAGGTGCCAGCTAGGTACCAGAGGATGAGTAGGCATCTACTGTGTTGTAAGCATTTTTCAAGCTAATATTATGATTTACACGTACATTATTTCCCTCATACGGTGAATTTATGGAAAGCCCTATACAAACTACCAATTGTGATTTTCAATCTCCAATTGTGGTTTCTTTAAATGTTGCATATTCCTATTCCTATATTATTATGTGCATATAAAAGTGTGAAGCAAAACTTATCCAAGCACAAAAAAGAATCACATAATTTAACCAAATATGATCAAAACGAGTTATCCTAAACACAATGAGAAGTTCCTCACAACTGTTTTAAAACACTCCAACCATCTACAAAGCATCTGACACATCATCTTGGAAAAGTTCGATACTTTCTTCTAAAAAAGTACCGACCCCTATATCTTCAAATCATCTGCAAAAACACATGAGAAACACATCATGAGAGGTTTTCGGCCACTTGATTTTTGTGATGTTGGAGTTGGGGTTGATACAATGACGGGTGAGGATGAGGCTGCACCTATCTCTCATACCCCCCTTCTCACCACTGCGTGCAGCCCCACCCCGCTCCCAACAGCCCAGCTGAGATGGCTAGAGGGTGCGCTAAGGCCGGTGCAACAACCACATGCAACCCAGCCACATGGGCCAGCAATGCTTCACTCATCTCTCGCTGGTCCAATCCAAGTCACCCTCCCTCCCTTACAGACCTGGAGGCGTTGGAGCCCTCATCGGGCTTGGGGGCGGCTGTATCTGACTTGTTGGCGATATAGAACACTGGCATACCCCTCTCTACTCCCACCCCCCCGGCCCCAGTGGTACACGCCCTCCTCATGGACCTCCCTCTTGCAGTCCCCATCCTACAGGAACCCTTTCACCCTTCTCCGATGGAGACCGATCTGATTCTCAGACCGTGCGCCTCTAACACAGATATAGGTGCACCACTCCAGCCTGCCTCACCCCACCCATCCCCATCATCAGCTCCACCTATCACCACGGCAGATAATTCCGCGGGCACGGCCATGGCCGACCCCACCGACATCACCAGACGAGGTCGTGAGGTGCCCCACATGCTTGAGCTCCCTTGCGAACCACCGAGCACTCCGACACCACATGCCGTTCTGCCACCCTGCCGACGCAGCTCGTAGGGCGCAGGCCCTCCGCGACAGGGCCTCATCTCTACCTTCCCTAGTAGAGCCCCGAGCTCAGGGGATGCAGTTGACAAATGCACGGTGGCATACGCTTGACTCCATCCAGTGGTCGGAGTACTTTGCCCCGGAGCGAATTCATGTCCGTCCTCTTCGGCGTATCCCTCCGAGGGTCCGTGATGGGTATCTAGACATCCTCTACTCCATCTTAGCTCGGGTCTCCCAGGATCGAGAGGCACCAGGCCCTACTCTCCTCTTGGCGGTGGCACCGACGCTCCCATTGGCTCCGGTGACACCGCCAGAGCATTCAAACACGGCCGCCATTGCAGCGTGCATCAACCATTTTGGACGAGGTGAGTGGGATGACCTCATCTCAGAGGCCCCACAGCGACGTACTTCCCTTCCTCTACGAGCAGCACGGCACGCTCGCGCCACCACTTTCTCCCCCACACCGGATGACCGTCGCATTGCCCGCTACCTGCGTCTGCGCGGCCCTGGAGTCAGTAAAGGCGGCACCTGACACGGAGAGTACGACGCAACGTCTACGGAGCAAGCATCCCATCGCAGAGTGACCGACTCCAGATTGGCGACCGACTTTCCGACCTTGTGCTCTATAGATCACCTCCGCCGCGCCATCTTCACAGCCCCGCGCAGGTCCTCAGGAGGACCGACAGGTTGGGTGCCGAGCATCTTCGAGATACTTTCCTTGCCTTTCCTGAGAGCCTCCCTAGCCTGCTTGTCGTGTACCAGCTTTGGTTGCGAGGCTACTGCGCCCCGTCAGCTCGATCGCTATTGGCATCGTCCACCCTGGTCGCTCTCACGAAACCGGACCTGGATATGCGTCCTATCGTGGTTCTGATTCACATCCTTGCTTGTGCAGTATGCTTGCAGCTGCGGGACCAGATGGCTAGGGTTTTTCTCGCGTCACAGCAGTTTGGGGTGGGCGTTACATGCGGGACAGAGGTCGTGGTTAGAGGCGTTCGTCGCACCCTGGATGACCACCCTGACTAGGTGGTTCTTCAGCTGGAGGTGGCGAACACCTTCAACTCGTTTCATTGAGACGCTATGTTGCAGGCCCTCTATACTAGTGCTGAGTTCCGCTGTCTTATTCCTTTTATTCGCATTTTCTACGGGACACCCTCCATTCTCCTTTACTAGGCGAACGGAGGGGTGACCACCATACACTCGAAGCGCGGGACCCGCCAGGGCGACCCGCTCAGCCCTTTCCTGTATGCACTCACACAGCGCATGGCGCTACAGCCAGTTCTAGCTGAGGGCGATGTCGAGCTATGGTCATACGCAGATGACACTTACGTGCTGGGCCCTCCCTGAAGGGTGCTACACCACTTCGCAGAGATTGTGAGGCACTTGCGCGAGCTGGGCCTTGCGGTCCAGCCACACAAGTGTCTCATCTACAGCAGGGATTTTGTGATGTCCAGGGAGGCAGAAGCTTTCAGGAGTTTGGGGATTGAGGTCGCTCGCAGAGGACTCACCATCACGGGAGTGCCGGTGTTCCCTGACGCTTTTGTGGAGAGGAGCCTACTTGAGCATCTGGAGAGGATGGGGCGCGTGTTGCCGTGGCTTCTGAGACTACGCCAGCCCCGGATAGTGGCCCGTCTACTTTCAGCATGCGTCAGCACGCAACCGCAGTATCTGGCGAGGACGGTCCCTCCGACCCCGGCTGTACATGCCAGTTTTGCATAGTGGGTGAGCGGTTGGGAGAGACCTTTTAGCAGCTCCTGGTGCCTGGGACTTGGACTGGTAGAGATGAAGTTCGTGAGGCTGCCCTGGACCAGATCTACCTCCCCATACATCTAGGGGGTTTTGGCATCCGACGCATGGAGCGTATTGCCCCGGTAAGTTATGCGTGCTCTTGGGTACAGTGCGCGCCGATCCTTTGCTCCCTCCCAGTGTGTGGCGCGAGCTTCCGACAGAGCTTCGCATCGGATGATGTTGACCAGATCGATCGATCACTACGGACGGTGCTAGAGGGCCTCCCACATGACATCCTCTCTCTCCTCCCCCCCTAGCACTCTTGTGTCTCTGCTGTCCCTGATTCTCTTTTAACATGAGTGAGCCGCGTCTTGGAGGCGCGGGCCTTGGAGTCCGTCCGGGCCTGTCACACTAACCCCTTGCACCTTGCCCGTTAGACATACCTTCAGGGCGCAGGTGCAGGCACATGGTTGACGGGGGTTCCGTACGCAGGCTCGCTGCGCATCCCAAAGGCGCAGTGGCAGGTGGCCTCAGCTTTCCGTCTCAGCCTCCTTATTCCCCAACTAGCCCTCGCAGGTCGGTGTTCTTGTGAGTACCACACCACGTGGTGCGGTGCTCCCGCTCCGGTATCGCCACGGTCATCCACGGCACCGTGAAATACATGCTTCGGGACTTTGCTTCCGAGGCAGGCTTCACGGTGAAGGTGGAGGACACCACTTTGATTCTGCACCTGGAGGCAGCTAGAGCGCGACTACAGGGACTCTCGGGGACGAGGGACAAGGTACCGGGACAGTCAGGGACACTGTGGGGACAGCAGCAGCAGGGTGGGCTCGGTCGAGGGGCTGGTGGGCAGTAGGGCCGAGAGGGGCAGGATGGGCTGGCTAGTGGGGGAGAGGAGGGGGGACAGCAGCAGCGGCGGCAGCAGCGGCAGCCGCAGCAGCAGCAGCTAGGCCAGCTGGGGCAGGAGGAGCAGACCCGTAGGGAAGAGGAGAGAGGACAGCATGGACAGTAGCAGCGGGGCCAGCAGGGGCCTGAGGGGCTAACCAGTGGGGGAGAGGAGAGGGGACAGCAGCAGCAGCAGCAACAACAGCAGCAACAACAACAACAACAGCGGCAGCAGCAGCAACAGCAGCAGCAGCAGCAGCAGGGCCAACAGGGGCAGCAGCAGCAGGTTTGTAGGGAAGAGGAGAGAGGGCAACAGCGGCAGCACCAGGAAGGTCAGCAGGGTCAACAGGGGCGGCAGCAGGAGGGTCAGCATGGGCAGCAACAGGAGGATCAGCTAGGGCAGCAGCGTGAGGATGAGCAGGGGCAGGCTGGCTGGGAGGAGGAGAGGAGACAGCAACAGAAGCGACGTCAGCAGGGGGGTCAGCCATGGCAAGAGGGGCAGGCCAGTAGGGGAGAGGAGAGAGGACAGCAAGAGCAGCAGCAAGAGGGTCAGCAGGGGCATCAGCAGGAGGGTCAGCAGGGGCAACAGCAGGAGGGTCGGTGGGAGCAGGCCCTCAACGGGAAGAGGAGAGGGGACAGCAGCGGCAGCAGCAGCAGCAACAGCAACAGCATGGCCAGCAAAGGCAGGAGGGGCAGGTTGGTGGGGGAGAGGAGAGAAGACAGTACAGCCAGCAACAGGAGGTCCAGCAGGGGCAGGGGAGGCCGGCGAGTGGGGTAGAGGAGAGGGGACAGCAGGGGCAGCAGCGGGATGGCCAGCAAGGGCAGGGTATGGAGGGGGGGGATAGGGCGAGGGTGCGGGGAGGTTTGGGTTTGGGGAGAGGAGATGGGAGGAGGCAGGTGGGTGGGGGAGAGGACAGAGGGGCAGAGACGACAAGGGAGGAGGCACAGAGGGACCAGGCACAGCACCAGCCAGCACAGCAGCAAAGGCAGGCTGGACGCACAGGCCGCATAGGGACACCAGCCCGCATTCCGGACCTGACTTGCCGCGATATAGAAAAAAAAATAATGGTGTTGGTAGACGTCTCCATTGCAGATCTACAGCAACAGGGGAATACCGGGCTTAGACGAGTGGTCCCAGTGCAGATGGGTGTTGCAGCAGCTAGACGAGTACAGGACAAATTGCGGGATTGGGCACCGCATCTAGAGGGATTACAACCGCCGTGCCATTTTTATGCACGTGTACTAGAGACGTTTGGGTTGCTCAGCGAGCCAATGAGGCACTTTCTAGGGCTTTGTGCGCGGCGGATTGTACAACGGCGTAAAGACTTTGGGGGGGGGGGATGACGGGTCGGCACGGATTTTCGAGACAGGGCTCACTACATGACTTTCCGTGGCACTGCAGCGAGCGCAGGCTCAGAGTATTATACAGCACGTGGTGCGGAAGTTGGGAGGGTCAGACGATGGGTGGATGCCCGCACTAGTCCCTTCGGGTGCGGGGCAGGGCAGTTGGCATTATATTACTGGCTGCTTTGAGAGCGTGGCAGACATGCAGTATATGTACGATGCATATGTGTAAGCGGTTAGCGATTGTGCTTGAAAGGCTGTGTCCCACGCTGTGGTGAGGGTTGCTGTGGTGTTTTGGTCCTTAGGTGTTTCCTTCCTTCAGTTTCTTCCTCTCTTCCTTTCCTCTTTCCACCTTTCCTTCAACCCTTCTCTTCTTCTCCAGCTCTTCTCTCCTTATCACCCTTTCTTTGTTCCACCATTTCTACCTTCCTCTAAGGGTGCATGTCCTTATACAGTATATTGTAGAACTCGTATTTTTGATTGAACTTCTAGCATTTGATCTTAGGTGGACCTAGAGTCGACGCAATCGACTTTTGTGACACGAGTCGCTGCTCTTCACGTCACATGAATCACATGGCACACAAATGTTCAACTATCGAAGTTGAACTTCTTACAGTTACCAAAGAGTCGCAACGGTTACCGAGTGTTTTTGCGACACCAGAAACCTGATTTGCAGCAACCCTAGTTCACACGTGTTCTGTAACTGTCGCCATTTTCGCAGTTTCATCGTGCACGGTCCAAAGGACACAAGAGTGACTGTTCGAGTACGCATGGTTTGTGCCGAAAGCTCGACCCAGGTTTAGAGTCCTACTTCTTCAACAAAATTTGTAGTAGGACACACGATTTTCTCGCAAATTGGTCAGCGACATTCACAACAAGACTCGACGTGAACGTCGGAAGGGTTGCGTAGAAGATATATTTTTGTCGTATGAAAACATGAGGTGAGGAATGCTTGATATTACATGTACGTTACTTAGAGCAAGGGACAAACTATGTTATTCCTCTTTATAACAAGTTGTTATTTCATCATCTTGTTCTTCCAATTCCTCATTATTAACGATGGGGATGTTTTTGAATATTTATATGATGTTTGTTTTGTAGCAGTAATTTATGTAGGTACAAATTGCACTACCGTATCATATGATTTACTGGGTTTGTTTATAATTCTAGCTAACCCTTATGTGTCAGCTAGGTGGATCGCGTGTTTGTGCGAGTGTTGTCACGTGACACTGGGTTCCAAATCTTGTCTGTGTGTTTGTTTTTTCGAATTACCATGTGCCCGGGTACCTTGCAATTCGCCCATCGTCCTTGTACTGTACTATACTCTGATTGTAAGAAAATGTTCAGGCAGAAATTCTCATGCCAGCGCCACACAATCCTAACCAACCCCAAGAATTCCTTCCCTAGGCATTCTCGTCCAGGTTTCTTGAATTCAAGCTCCTGCTCTACTCCCAACCCAACCGTCGATTATCCTGCCATCGCCACTCCCTATCAGCTATCTGTTTTTAGTCATTACAACAACCTGCAGTTGCCTCTCCTCACTCCACCGTCGCCTCTCCTCAATCCCCACCGTCGCCTCTCCCTCGCTCCCCACCATCGCCTCTCCCTTACTCCCCATCATAGCCTCTCCCTCCCACCCCGCCGTCTCTCTCCCTTCCTCTTCGCCGTCGCTTCTCCCTCCCTTCCCGCCGTCGCCTCTGGTGGGTGCACGAGTGCGAGCGCGGGTTGGTGCACGACCGCGCGTTTTGTGAGGCCCCGTCGTCTCAGGTGCGTTTCCGTTTCCCGGACCTTTTTCCTCGCTCCTCCCTCCGAAATTTCATATTTTCTCTACTTTCTTCGTAAGTTCTTGTTGCCGATCGGTCATTAGCTCGCTGGCGCCTAACGCGCTAGCGCCATGTGCGCTGGCGCCTAACGCGCTAGCGCCTAACGCGCTGGCGCCAAACGCGCTTGCGCCATACGCGCTGGCGCCAAACGCGCTGGCGCCTAGCGCGCTGGCGCCATGCGTGCTGGCGCCGTGCGCGCTGGCGCCCTGTGCTCTGGCGCCATGTGCGCTGGCGCCTTCTCAGAATCCCAACCACTAGACCATTGGGATAAAAGGGCTTGGTAAGTAGCGGGTCAGAGTGCGCCCATAACCCCCCAGGCAAACGCGCCTGTAACCCCCCGTAGGATCAATCGGGCATCCACAGTGCAGATCTACTGACACCCCCCCACACTGGGAGGCCCAGGACTGAGCACAGCGGCAACGGCCTACATGTGCATACACCGGGATTCAAACTCGAGACCACTCTGACACCATGTCAGAATCCCAGTCACTAACCACTGGGATAGAAGGGCTTGTTTCAGTAGCGGGTCAGTGCGCCCATAACCCCCCAGGCAAACGTGCCTGTAACCCTTCCCTAGGATCGATCGGGGATCACCAGTGGACCTCTGACACCCCCCCGCACTGGGATGCCCGAAGTGCATACACCGGGATTCGAACCCGAGACCTTCGCTCTGGATACCATCTCAGAATCCCAACCACTAGACCATTGGGATAAAAGGGCTTTGGTAAGTAGCGGGTCAGAGTGCGCCCATAACCCCCCAGGCAAACGCGCCTGTAACCCCCCGTAGGATCAATCGGGCATCCACAGTGCAGATCTACTGACACGCCTAACGCGCTGGCGCCATGTGCGCTAGCGTTATGCACGCTGGCGCCATGCGCGCTGGAGCCATGTGCGCTGGCGCCTAACGCGCTGGCACGTAATGCGCTGGCGCCTAGCGCGCTGGCGCCTAACGCGCTGGCGCCTAACGCGCTGGCGCCAAACACACTGGCGCCATGCACGCTGGCTCCATGTGCGCTGGCGCCTAACGCGCTGGCGCCGTGCACGCTGGCGCCATGCGCGCTGGCGCCTAATGCGCTGGCGACATGTGTGGACTTGGTGCAAAAAAATGTTTGCTACCATTTCTGCTCTCTTTCCTTTCTGCTGCAGGTGATGCATTCCGTAGGTGATGACAACCGGCGCGATTGTCCCGTTAAAACGGCGAATTGGAGGCCGTCTTCAAGTGACAACAACCGGCGCACGCATGTGGCGACATGCGACAACAACGACCGGGAGTTCGTCTTCGTCGCAAGTGGAACGACCGTCGGTGGTGTTGACGCGTGGGTACTCGATACGGGTGCTACTCAACACATGACGGCGAGCGCGACGCTTCTCAACAACGTGACAACGGTGGCTCATGGTGGACGGCAACGTTAAGCGCGTGATGTTCGGCAACCGTGACACCTTGGATGTCACGGGACAAGGCGACTTGCGGCTCATGGTGGACGGCGGTCCACTCACCATCAAGAACGTCTTGGTGGTTCCCAGGCTCGGTGCCAACCTCCTATCCGTTTCCCAATTTACACGCAAGGGGATGCGTGTGAATATTGAAGGGACCACGATGGCGTTGAGCACGGCGGACGGCGTACACATCGGCACGGCACGCCAAGCGGGAGGACTCTTCATGCTCGACGCTCTTCCGAGCGTGGCGACGGCTCAAGCGGCTACCTCGACAACAGCTCTCTCGACGTGGCATAATCGGTATGGCCACCTCAACCACGCCGCTATTCAAGCTATGGCAACGAAGGGGATTGTCGATGGCTTGGAGTTTGTGCGCTCGAGTGGAGACGACGAGAAGTGTGTCGGTTGCCTTGAAGGGAAAATGGCTCGGAAGCCATTTCCACCAAGCACGAAGCCCAACGCCACCGAACCTCTCAAGCTCGTTCACACCGACTTGTGTGGACCCATCACTCCCGCGTCGAAGGGCGGCGCGCGCTACGTCCTCACGCTCCTTGACGACGCGACGCGGATGTGTTGGATTCGGCTTCTCAAGAGCAAGGACGCCACGTCAACTGCTATCAAGAAATGGGTAGCGGATGTGGAGACGGAAAGCGGCTTCAAGGTGAAGTGCTTTCGCTCGGATGGCGGTGGCGAATACACCACTCGGGAGCTCGGCGATTGGTTGGAAGGGCGTGGGACCGCGCATGAGTTTTCGACGCCGTACACGCCTCAACAAAACGGTGCGGCCGAACGCTTGAACCGCACGCTCATGGAGTCGGCACGGAGTCTCCTCTCCCATGCTCACGCGGAGAAGCATTGGTGGGGTGAGGCGGTTACGTTGGCAACATGGATTCGCAACCGGTGCGTGACCAAGGCGTTGCCGAACACGACGCCTCTTGAGGCTTGGAGCGGTACGAAGCCGGACGTCACCGACCTTCGCACGTTTGGGTGTACGTGCTACTACCATGTCCCAGATGCCACACGGACCAAGCTTGAGGCGAAGGCGCGGGTGGCGATGTACTTGGGTCCAAGCGCGGATCACAAGGCGTGGCGTGTGTGGGACTTGGAGCACGGGAAGCTCGTGGTGTCGCGCGACGTGGTGTTCTACGAAGACACCTTCCCGTCCAAGTCGATGCACGTGCCCTCGGTCATCATTGACCCTCCCCCCTTGGATGCCGCGGATGAGGCGGATGTTGCTCCTACGGCTTCTCCTCCTCGTACGAGTGAGGGGGAGAATGGATCGGGTGCGGTTGGAGTGAGTGCGGATGAAGAACATGCCAAGGAAAGTGACCCTTCATCTCCTCCTCCTAAAATCACTCCCACCCTCGCATCCACTCGCACTCGGAGGACTCCTCGTCCCAAATCCAAGTTGGATGGCTACTCTCTTGTGGCGGGGGATGATGAGGGAGGGGGAGATGCTATGTGTCTTGAGGCATACACCGACACACCGTCCACCTACCAAGGCGCCATGAGCTCGGCGGAAGCGGCGGAATGGGAACGTGCGCTTCAAGCGGAGTACGATTCGCTCATAGCGAACGACGTCTACGAGCTCGTCCCCATGCCCCCCGGCGCCTACCTCGTTGGCTCTCGTTGGGTCTTCAAGAAGAAGCTCGGCCCCAACGGAGAAGTGGAGCGGTATAAGGCGCGGTTGGTGGCGCAAGGTTATACTCAAAAGGAGGGTCTTCACTACAACGAGACGTTCGCTCCCGTCGCTAAGTCCGCTACGTTGCGCACTCTCTTGGCGTTGGCGGGAGCACTCGACTTGGAGGTGGAACAACTCGACGTGAAGACGGCGTTTCTCTACGGTCGTCTCAAGGAGGAGGTGTACATGAAGCAACCTCCCGGGTTCGACGACGACTCCGACCGCGTGTGCAAGCTCAAGCGCACGATCTACGGCCTCAAGCAAAGCCCTCGTGCGTGGTACACGAGGATCGACGATCACTTGCTCTCCTTGGGGTTCGTGCGGAGCGAGTGTGACCACGCGCTATACGTGCTCAACAAGGACGAGAAGAAGCTCGTTCTTCTCCTCTACGTTGACGACCTTCTCCTCGTGTCGGATTGCAAGACCCTTGTAGCGGACGTGAAGACGAAGCTTGCCGCCGAATTCTCCATGCGTGACCTCGGCGCCGTCTTCCACTACCTAGGGATGCACATTGATCGCGATCGAGGGAACAAGACCCTCGCTCTCCACCAACATAAGTACTTGGAGAGTGTGGTGGATCGCTTCGGCATGATCGAGAGCAAGCCTATACCGACACCTATGGAAGCGGCGTTTCATCCCTTGGCGGTGAGCGATGAAAACCCGATGGATCCCGAGAGCGCCAAGACCTTCCACTCGGTTGTTGGGTCATGCATGTATGCCGCGGTGAGCACGCGACCCGACCTCTCCTTTCCCGTTGGAGTGCTTGGACGTGTCGTCTCCAACCCCATGGTCGAGCATGTGCGAGCGTCACGATGTCTCCTTCGTTACATCAAGGGGACCACTCGTATGGGGTTGCACTACGAGAAGGGACACGTGGTGCTACAAGGCTACACGGATGCGGATTGGGCGGGAGATCCTTCAACCCGCCAAAGCACTTCGGGCTACGTCTTCACCCTCGTGGGAGGTGCAATAAGCTGGCAAAGCAAGCGCCAAAACTTGATTGCACTTAGCTCCACCGAAGCGGAGTATGTGGCGCTCACTCGTGGTGGTACGGAAGCGGTTTGGTTACGTCGCCTTCTTGCCGAGCTTGGGCACAAACAAGAAGGCCCCACTCCCATCTACGTGGACAACCAGGCCGCCATTGGCCTAGCCAAGAATTCGGTCCTTCATGGAAGGACCAAGCATATTCAAATCCGCCACCACTTCATTCGCAAGCTCGTTGAAGACAACGAAGTCGAGCTTCGTTACATCAAGACCAACTCCCAACCCGCGGACTTTCTCACCAAGCCATTGCCTAGAGATGCTCTTCATGCATGTTGTGCTAGGGTAGGCTTGCATGCTTAGGTGTGCGTGGGGTGCAAGGGGGAGTGTTGGAAGTGTGGGGGACGGGATTGCCCTCCACGCGAAGACCTCCCTTGACTCGGACCAAGGGAGGGTTCGTTCTTGGAAGGTTGGGGTGACGGCGGATTGTCCGCGTCGCCACGCAACCGAACTTTCCCCGGTTGAGTCCGAACATTTGTGGGGGCGACACTTGGCAGCCCCACAAGCATGCACGAAAATAGCGAGGGTGCAAGCGAATGTTACGAACATTTCGCTACACTCGCTATTGATCCTTGTAACACACGATTGTCGGCGTGAAGAAACGAACCCGGCAAAGTCCGAAATTATGAACGCGGACGTCGCGGAAATTGGACGCGATCCTGAGTCCGAATTTCTGGCGAGTCGCGCGCGGTTCGATGTTACAATTCTGCATGAGTGTTTTAGTTATAAATCCAGAGAGCAAAACAGAGAGTTTATTCCTTGTACGACTTGTGTACCTATCTTCATATGAACAACGTTTTCTCTCTCAACTCTTGGGCGATTTCAGTGATCTAAGTTGCTACGGAATCCTTGCTCTGAGCCCGTCGGATTGATCCTAGGCTCTGGTTTTAACTCGCTAAGCTGAGTCTGTGGCTTCAGTTAACCCAATGTCCCGTCTTCTTGCACAACCGACAAGCTCCCTCTCGCGCCCGAGCTCGATTGGCGTTGGCCGATCCTCCTCGTGATGAGCTTGAGGCCGCCGCGCTCCCGTCCAAACTCCCGCGGTTGTTGCCGTCGTTGCGCCGCTTGAAGTGACCCGACCCTTTCGCCTTCGCATCGCGGGAGAAGTGTGCCGCGCCGATTGCATCGCCATGCAACTTCGCGCGCCTCGCCTCTTCGTTGATGAGGCGTGCCACCACTTGCTCCTTCTTCCAGGTATCTTGCGTCCCATCCAACATCGTGATCACCGTTGACCATGCTTCACTGAGGCCCGCGAGGAGCGTCATGATCCAATCGTTGTCCTCCACGCTCGCGTCGAGTTCCACCAAGCGCTCGCCAAGCTCCTCCACGCGGTTAACGTACGCGCGTATTGACTCGCGGTCCTTCATCCGCACCGTGAAGAAGTCGAGGCGGGCTTGAAGCTTGCTATGAAGCGACTTGGAGACGTGCTCTCCTTCGAGTCGCTTCCACGCTTCACGAGTCGCGCCGTCACGGTCGATGCAAGGGCTCACGATCGGGACGAGTTGGAGGCTTAGCTTGGAGACAAGAAAGGCAAACGCCTTTTTGTCCTTGCGCACCCACGCTTCCTTCTCCGCGGTTGAAGCGTCCGACGTGGGCTTCGATGCCGACCCATCGAAGAATCCCCACAAGTCGCGCTCCATCATGTAGACTTTCAACTTGAAGCGCCACGAGGAGAAATGTTCCCCGGTAAAAATTGGCACCGCGCTCAAGTCGACAACGTGCGGCGTTGTCGAGAAGTCCGTTGGGAGGGAAGGGGCCGTTGGCGTATTCGTCGTCGACGAATTATCGGAGGAGCCCATGGCGTAGCAACGCTTGAGCGAGCACTCCTAATCTAGCTCTCATACCATGAAAGACACCAACCTGGGTTAACTGAAGCCACAGACTCAGCTTAGCGAGTTAAAACCAGAGCCTAGGATCAATCCGGCGGGCTCAGAGCAAGGATTCCGTAGCAACTTAGATCACTGAAATCGCCCAAGAGTTGAGAGTGAAAACGTTGTTCATATGAAGATAGGTACACAAGTCGTACAAGGAATAAACTCTCTGTTTTGCTCTCTGGATTTATAACTAAAACACTCATGCAGAATTGTAACATCGAACCGCGCGCGACTCGCCAGAAATTCGGACTCAGGATCGCGTCCAATTTCCGCGACGTCCGCGTTCATAATTTCGGACGTTGCCGGGTTCGTTTCTTCACGCCAACAATCGTGTGTTACAAGGATCAATAGCGAGTGTAGCGAAATGTTCGTAACATTCGCTTGCACCCTCGCTATTTTTGTGCATGCTTGTGGGGCTGCCAAATGCCGCCCCCACAAATGTTCAGACTCAACTGGGGAAAGTTCGGTTGCGTGGCGACGCGGACAATCCGCCGTCACCCCAACCTTCCAAGAACGAACCCTCCCTTGGTCCGAGTCAAGGGAGGTCTTCGCGTGGAGGGCAATCCCGTCCCCCACACTTCCAACAAATGCTGATGTGGTTTTCGTGTTGCCTTGAATTCAAGTTTAAAGCCATGTGTGTGAGACGTCAAAATGGGTTTGCCTTTAATATTTATATTTTATCGATTTACTGGACTGTTAATAACAACCCTTTCAATCATGCTTCACTATTTCTACCCTAGTGTGCTGGCGCCTTGCAGCGGTGCGCTGGCGCCTTGCTGCAATGCGCTGGCGCCTTATATAACTAGCATTTTTTTGCATGAACTGTATGTTTTGCAGGATATGCGAGCCACATCGCGGGGAGCAGAAAATGGAAGGCGAGGGGAAGATGTGGAAAAGCGAGGGATGAAGAGGGAAGGGGGAACAGGATAGGAACTGGGGGCAGGCTAGCAGTGATAGTTGATATCCATTTACTTGCGACTCCTTGATTGCTTTCCCTATCCTCTTTGTATGTATGTGTATATGCATGTGTGTCCGTGCATGTGTGTTTGTGCGTGTGTGTTTGTGCATGTGTGTAAGTTCAACGTGTCATTCATGTCAGTTGGTTGTGATTGTTTCAAGGTGTGTGTGAAAACTGAAACGAGAATGAATGACTAAGGGAAAGTTGGGTATAAGTACAAACCCTAGAAAGCTGTACCCCATATGTGCTAACCCACTATAGTCTACAGAGTTCTGTTATATAAATTTGACACACCCCCATAGGCAAAGTGGGGGAGAACAAGGGGTCACAACACCAGTCAAGTAAAGCAAAGCCAGCTCATGGTGGATCACAAAGTCACCACACATTCCGAGCACAAGTTCAGTTCATATGCAAGATTACATATATATATAAGGCTAGACAAGCAAGAGCATGCATATATATATAAATATATATATGAAACCGTACAACCAAGCTCAAGGGGTGAGCAAGTGAGGCAAGGCAGGCACAAGACCCAGCTGAGTACAGAAGCGCTGATGATCACAAGGCGCAAGTGCCTTGGTGAAGATATCTGCAGTGTTGGCCTCAGAGGCCATGTACGCAAGACGCAGCTGACCACGCTGCTGTAGCTCACGAGCAAGGAAGTAGCGAAGAGCAATGTGCTTCGTTCTGTGCTCCAATCTCTGCTCGCGACACAAGGCCAGCATGGCCTTGTTGTCTACGTACAGCACTGGAGGAGAACGAGGCGGCTCTCCGAGGTCAGTCAGCAGGTAGGTGTGCCAGCGATGCTCCTGTGCAGCCATGGCCCCTGCGTAGATCTCAGCCTAACCACTAGAGCCGAGAACCGAAGACGAGCAGGTAGCCCACCACGAAACAGAGCCGGAACCAAGGCTGAAGGTGTAACCCTGTGACGACCGCTGCGTAGCCTGGTCGTCAGCCCAAGAAGCGTCTGCGTGCCCAGTGAGGACCACTAAACTCTGCCTTCCAAGCACAAGCCCCATGCCCGACGTACTGCACAAGTAGCGCAACACCCTCCTCGCTGCAGCCATGTGCTCCGGTCTGTGTCTCCCAGGAGCAACATAGCGTGCGAGAATGCTAAGAGGGTATGCAAGGTCAGGTTGTGTGCAGGTCATCAGGTACATGAGGCAGCCAACAAGCTCTGGATACGGGCCACTCGACTCTACAGACTCATCCGAAGGCAGTTGTGAGAGCGTGTGGCGAGTAGGCAGAGGAGTGGCTTCAGGCGAGGAGTATGTGAAGCCGAAGCGCTGAACGACCTGATGCACCATGTGTGACTGAGTCAGGGTAATGGTGCGGCGTGCTCTGTCCCGGGTGATATGCAAGCCAAGGTAGCTGCGCATTTCACCCAGGTCTGTGCACGTGCGTCTCTTCTGCAGCTCGGACTTCACGTGGGCTAGTCCAGAAGTGTCAGGTGTGGCAAAGACCAAGTTGTCGACGTACACGAGGATGTAGAACGGCGGCAAAGAAGTGTCGGTGCGCAGAAACAGCGACGGGTCGGTAGTAGAGGGAGCAAACCCAAGAACCGCAAGTGTAGTCCTCAGTGTGTCGTGCCACTCACGCGGTGCCTGGCGAAGACCGTAGACTGGTCGCCGGAGGCTCCACTGGGTGCCAGGAGGAAAAGATCCAGTGAAGCCAGGTGGGCGACGCAGCCAGATCTCCTCGTGCAGACTGCCCTGCAAGAAAGCAGTGCTGAAGTCAAGAGAGTGCAGCTCGTAGTCACGGTGCGCAGCTATGTGCAGCAGTACCCGAAGAGTGGTCATCTTTGGGGTGGGAGAGAAGGTCTGAAAGTAGTCAACTCCCTGCCGCTGACTGAAGCCACGAGCCACGTAACGCGCCTTGAAGACAGGCGGAGAACCCGGCGGCCGCTTCACCCTGAAAATCCACATGCCACTGACGATGTTCGCCCCTGGCGGGGTAACCTCGTCAACGTAGGTGCCTGTGGACTTCCAGGAAGCCATCTCTGCGTCCATAGCTGCCTGCCACTGAGAAGAGTAGGGACCCTCTATCGCCTCCGCGTAAGAACGCGGAGTCGGGATGTCAAGTGCATCCGGGTCTCCCTCAGGGGTAAGCAGTACGGACACGAGATGAGGTGAAGCAGCAGCCATTCACTGGAACTCCTCCTGCTTGTCCTCAAGGACGTCCGTGCCAAGGGCACACTCACCCCCGACGAACAGAGGACAGACAGACTAAGACTCAGCTACAAGACTAGCAACGTAGTCTAGACGACAGCGAGCAGCAAAGTCGACGAGCTCAGCAACTAGGGCAGACGTAGCAGTGGACTCAAAGGAAGGGTCAGTGACGACAGTAGCAAGGAGACGCGTGATAGTAGGAGTGGCAGCACGAAGAGAGTCCGACTCCGGGTCGGCAAGAGCAGGAAGAGAGGACTCATGAGGAGAAGGTAAAGGGGCACGCAGAGGAGCAGTGGACGGACGCAGAGACATCCGGTACGTGCCAGGGACAGGAGGAGGACGCTGACGCGAACCACGACCACTAGTGCGAGCAGCACGGACAGGCGACGCAGGGCGAGACGCAGGCTCACGACGCTCAACAAGACCTCTAGTAGGACCAGTGTAGGGAGAAGGAGCAGGCAGTGGGGAGGCCGGCTGTAACTGTAACTGTGACGGGACAGGCTGTGGACACTCTAAGGAAGGAGGAGGACCAGTAGAAGGCGGGACACCAAGAACCTGCTCAAGGAGCGTAACGAAGTACGGTCGAGGCCGCGCAGCGACTCCAGACACAGCAGGGACAGCACCAGTACCCCTAGTGGTAGATCCAGCGCCAGCAGCACCTCCAGCTTTAGTACCTCCAGCAGCACCAGTAGCACCCCCAGCAGGACCGCCTCAAGTACCGCCGGCAGTAGCCTCAGCGCCAACACCCTCAGCAACTCCAGCTCTAGTCGGACCACGAGAAGACGTAGTGGCTCCAGCTCCAGTAGTACCCGCAGGCCCAGCAGCTCCAGTACTCCCAGTACGAGCACCTCCGGGACCCGCGGCACCAGCACCCTCATCAGCCGAAGAACCCCCAGCTCCAGCAGCATGCCTCCAGCGCGGGGCAAACCACTCACGCACCTCCTGAAGAGAAAGTGGCTCAAGTCGAGACGAAGCACCCGGAGAACCTTCAAGCCCAGCACCACCAGACGCCACACGAGCATGCCCAGCTCCCTAAGGCTCCGCACCCCCAGGCTCAGCACCTCCAGGCGTAGCACCACTAGGCTCAGCACCCCCACTCGTAGCACCCCCAGGCTCAGCACCCCCACACTCAGCACCCCCAGGCTCAGCACCCCCAGTCATAGCACCCTCAGGCTCAGCACCCCCAGGCGTAGCACCCACACGCTCAGCACCCCCAGAGTCAGCACCCTCAGGCTCAGCACCCTCAGCAGCACCAGAGTCACCACCAACCTCCACAGGCTCAACTGCATCTACCTGGGACACACCTGAAGGGGCAGGACCCTGAGGGGGAAGGGGGTCTACCGGGGGGGGACCTGGCACAAGGAAGAGCGGTGGCGAGGGGAGAGACGGAGTGCGGTAGGGGAAGAGACGGTAGTAGGGGACCGACTCGTCAAACGTGACGTCTTGGGAGGACAGAACAAGGCGAGAGGTGGGGAGGTAGAACTGCCACCCTCCCGCGTCAGGGGGGAAGCCAAGGAAGACGCAGGGAGCAGCACGAGGGGACAGCTTGTCCGCAGACAAGTCGCGGAAAAACGCCCGAGATCCCCAGACACGGAACGCAGACGCATCGCCAACCTTCCCCGTCCACAGCAAAGCTGGGGAGGTCTCCGGCATGGAGACCCTGGGCTGAAGGTTGATCTGATGCGCCGCGTACCGGACCGCAAACGGCCATAGGAAATTGGGGGGCAGCCGCATGCATCATGGACGTACGGGGGACGTCCATGACCATGCCAATGCGGCGCTCAACAATCCCATTTTGCTGTGGAGAGTCCGGAAGCGTGAAGGTCTGGCGGATGCCTCGTGCACGA